TGAATCTTTCTGTCCCACGAACATTATTATAAAACCTGAACAGAATTCATGGCACAGCTTTTTAGAGTCTCTGAAAAATGAATATTACCAGGTGAATCAAAGAGGAACAACCAGCTCTTGCCACCACTGCAGAACCAATCTATCCTCAGCTGGGTAGAGAAGAGGCGGGAGTCCAGCTGAGGGGATCCCCAGCCCCCAGCAGAGAAAAGGGCACAGCCAGATGGATGCAATGGATACTTACCTGCACAGGCTGGCCCCAGGATGCCCCCAGCACCTGCGCACCCCAACCAGCCCACACTCGGAGTGTACCCAGCATTTCAGATAAATGAGCAATCACTCATTAATGACTTTTCGGATTTACTGCCTGACTGGAAAAGAATCAACAACATCCCACCAGGAATGACTTGGTGGAAATAGCCTGTCACTATCCCAGCAGATCTTCAGAGTTGCAAGAACTTGGGAGAGAACATCAGATTCACATTGGTCTTTTCTGTAAGGAGCCATAGACCAGGGCTTTGGCATTCCTCCTTTGGCAAGAATCTTGGAACAGATTTTGTGGAGACTTGCAGCAATGACTTTTGCTGGAGCGTCACATACATGACATTTCAAAATTCTTGTATCTTTGTCTCTTGCTATGTAAGTAAAATCCCAGCCACAGGAAAGGGTCAGTTAGTTCTGTGATGCCATCTCTCACCCCAGGGAATGAGGACTTGCATGCAGCCAGTTAACCCAGACCCCAGTTTTAAAAAGCTTGAAGGAGCAACACTACACTTATGCATCTTTGAAACTCAGAAAGGCCCCATGTGTTGATGACAATCCTTGTGGTGTCAGCAGTGACTCAGAAGCTGTGTTTTGCTGTGAGCTTTCTGGGATGGGTAGAAATTACAGAGGTAAAAGTAGTAAACATGGTGTTGCTGTCAACTGCATCAGGCAGCTTTCTGACTGCAAAAATGACATCCAAGATATTTGGGGAGAGAGGAAAGACATGGACCTGGTCCTGGAGAATGACATGCTCAGCCTAGGGGACCCCTAGACCACTCTTTGCTGACTCTCAGCTCATGAGCATCTGCATGTGGGGCACGGGCCACAACAGTAGCTGGGATTTTAGACAAAGATATAAGAATTTTGAAATGTCATGTATGTGACACACCAGCAAACACCATTGCCACAAGTCTCCATGAAATATGTTCCAAGATTATGGCTGTAGGGAAGTATGCCAAAGCCCTTGCCTGCAGTTCTACATAGGAAAAGGCCAATGTGAATCTCATGTTTCCTTGCAAGATTTTCCAACACCAAAGACGTTGGAGCTGGTCAAGAAGTTCCATGGGCAGTACTCAGGGATGTTACCTGCAGACAAACCAGTCAGAATGGACACACTGGTCAGTGCCATGGGCAGCTTTAGGCCCTCATCCAACAAGGAGGCTTGGCCATCAGAGAATATGATGTGGCCAATGCCACTGTGACTGTCATCAGTGAAAAGAATGAAGGGGGATCTCAGTAGAGAGCCACGTGAGTTCTGTCCTTCACGAGTGTCAGGAAGGACATCCATACAGTTGCCTTTATCATGGACATTGGGAACCAGTGCTTTGAATGCCACCTTTTCTGGTGTGAGCCTAACTCTGGTATGGCCTAGGCTACCTACACTTATGATATCAGAGGTGTTTGGTGGTCAGGAAAGTTCTTCACAAAAAGTTCAACCACGTCCTCCACCACCAGACTCAGTGACCAGGAGAGTCACAACCAACGTAAAACAAGGGGTCTTAACCCTTATTAACACTTTGAAACCCCAGTGTCCATGATAAGGCAAACGTATGGATGTTGTAGCCAGTAGACCTAAAGGAATTGTTAAAGAAAGTTCTTCAGACAGATGGGAAATGATAACAGACTTGGAATATCAAGAATGAAAGAACTAACAGAAAACAAATATGTGGGTAAATACAATATACTACCTTTAAGTTCTTTATATATTTGGTGGTTAAATGTCAATTATAAAACTGTCTGATGCAACGGCCAGTTGTGGTGACTCATGTCTGTAATCCCAGCACTTTGAGAGGCCAAGGTGGGAGGATTGCTTGGGGCCAGGAGTTCAAGACCAGGCTTTAAGCCACTGTACCCAGCCTTAATTTGTAAGTTAATATTTGAGTTAAAATTGTGAAATTGAGTTTAAAGCCTCATTAAGGATGTAGTCAAGTTTGTCTTCCTTGTAGGCCCTCCTGACTCCATCTGGAAAATTAATCCCTTCTGCTACTGTGTTCTCAAACAATATTTCTTCAAAAAGTCAATAAAGCATTTTTCACAGTACTGGAGTAGCACACTATTGGTCTCAAAATTGAGGTGAAACCTCTGAAGGTAGAGATGGTGGTGTCTTAATTTTTCTAAACCCCGCTTTTATGTGGGTAGTATTGACTGATATTACCATATTGAAATTTAAAGTTTTATTCATTAATAAAGCAATAAGCCCATTAAATGTTAACAAATCTTTTATAAAAATTACATTAAAAATAGATGGCAGTTTTACATTTTTTTGCAAATCTCTTTAGTCCGATTAATAGACGGTATCTAAATTCTTATATCTACTTCTACATTCAATATGAAGGAAATTCAAACTCAAACAGCTATCTAGATAGCTGGAATGAGATTTTAACAGTCTTTCAAAAAAATGGTGACTACTCTTTGAAACTGTAACAAAATTTGATAGTGGTAGTTGCTGAAAGGTTAGTTGCAATATGGAATCTGCAACTTTATCAATAAATTTTTGTAGTTACATCTTATACTTTGTGTGATATCTTAAGGATTGGTCATTTGGAAAAAATGAGTTCACTTAGTTTTGCAAACCTCCCAATTGCTGTCACATTTTATTATCCAGTAAACAAAATGATATTTGTCCATATAATCACTGATCTAATTAGAAAGGTTTGTAGAGAAGCTGTCAAGCTTGCTGTGGTAGATTAAAAATTTTGCTTTCAAGTTCAAATTTTGTCATTGGCAACAAATATCCAGTTGTGTTCCTTGAAGTGACAAGGTCATTTCATTCACTTTTGAGAGACTATATGCCAACCATCCAAGTATGAAAAGCCATGGTGTGTAACTTGTTTGTTCAAGTAAAAATAGTGTTCGATGAAGCTGTGGCTTGTTTGGTCCACAGCTTACACAATTGCCTAAATGCTTTTCTTCAGGACAATCACAAAGATACGCTTTATGCATACCACCATTCAGGCACATTAAAATATTAAAAAGATAGGTTGGGTGTTGTGAGTAAAATACTTAATGACTGACTCAAGGACATTTTTAAGTAGATGCACAGCAGTGAAGAATACAGTGACTACTAAGTGTCACTGCCTTGGCTTGTTCTGTGGCACCAACAGTGCAAGACACAGTATGTTACTAGGCAAATAGTTCTGAACAAGTAGATCTTCCACAGACCACACTTTGGTCTCCTGAAATGATTGCACTGCCAGGTCTATGTATCCAGTTGCCCAGAGTGATGGTCCTCAGGTTGACCAGAGCTTAAAAATGATTCTACATTTAAGCCACGGTGCCTCCTCGCCTGATTAGATGCTAAGTAACCTTTGGGTTAATGAACTGCCACATAGTTAAATGTCAGGCAAAAAATGCCAAGAAGCTGGGTGTGGTGGCTCATGCCTGCGATTCCCACCCAGTACATTGGGAGGATGAGGCAGGACTGTTTGAGCCCAAAAGTTAGATACCAGCCTAGGCAACATAACAAGACATCATCTCTACAAAAAATTTAAAAATTAGCCAGTTGTAGTGGCACGCCTATAGTCCCAGCTACTTGGGGGTCTGAGGTGGAAGGATCACCTGAGTCTAGGAGATCAAGGCTACAGTGAGCCGTGGTTGTGCCACTGTACTCCACCCTGGGCAACAGACTGAGAGATCCTCACTCAAAAAATAAATAAAGCCAATGAGTTAGGCTGATACAACAGTTTGGTCTGCTTCATAATGACATGTTTAAGTATAAATTAATAAACTGCCATTATGCTTTTAACTATATGGTCTCTAAGCTCTGTTAAGTCAGCAGCCCTGAATCCAATCAGTTTGGGGACACTGATGATAGTTTGAGAGTAAATGCTATCTTATAAGAACTTCTCTATAGTTTTTGTTTCTTATGACACTTTTGAAATTGTCTACATAGGGATGACACTTTATAACAATTTCAAAAATAAAATAAGAAATTTTTGGATTCTAAAAATAAGCACGCAAAATGTTAAAAATAACACTCCCCAAATATGTTTTCTCCAGAAAGAATTAAAATATTGTTATTTCCTAAATTTATTTAGAGAAAGGAAGACTATCCAACTCTATATAATTTAATTGTACTTTGGTGTTTTGAACATTTAACAAAAGTTCTTTATTGATAAAATGAGATTTAATTAAGTGCAGGCACAGCAAACTAGCTTGCTCAACACTCCCAACTCCTCCCTAGCATGTTTTCCTGAATCACAGAGGCTGAGAGCTATAAACTGCATTTCCCAGATTCCTCTGCAGTTAGGTTTTACATGTCATGTAAGTTCTCTCCAGTCAGATGCACTCAACTGAGCCTTTAGTGTGGAACCGCACCACCTGGGAAGGAAAGTAGCTGTGCCAGTGTGGACCATGCAGAGGCAAGAGACCTGGAACTGGCTGCTGGTGTGGTTCTCTCACTCTGTAGTTTCCGACTCTGGCACAGGCACAGCAACCTTGATGGTCCTACTGTGTAGTACAGTTTTGGGGTGTATTTCTAAAAGATCAGGCTTTTATTTCTGTGAGCTATTTATATACCTGAACAAACCCATTGGATTTAAAACTGCCTTGAGTGGATTTTGTTGCTTGCAGTCAAGAACTAACCAATTCACATTTTAACATTTCCTCTAACATAATCATATTTCTGGTTTCTACAGTTTCATACCAGTATTTTTTCTTCCTCAATTGCTTTTCTAATCTGAGACAATGTCCCTTGTATATAGTTAAATGCTATTTTAAAAAATCAAACTACTGTGGCATTGTTTTTAGATACACCTGTAATTTTATTACAAAACCATTCTTTTGGCATTAGTTGGTTACAGTGACAGCAAGATACTATGAGTGTGGCAGAGCACCTCTGATGCAGCAACTGAATTCCCTGCTTACTGAACCAAACTTCAGTTACCTCATACCCACGACATATAAGTGACCTATAATCACTGCTGCTACAAATCCCGATCCACATACCATCTAGGAAGGAGTCGGTTCTAAGGGATTAGATTAAATGTTGATAAGACTACAAAAGTTCCTTTATGGGACTTTCTTTCTTTCCCCTCCAATTACTTTGCTTCAAAAGAATCAAATTACTTAGAGCTAGTCTGAATAGCAGCAGCACCCAAGCAGCTTAGTTCTTGTTAAAAAGCAAAACCTGTTCAATACATGTGTACACAACAGGCAAAGGGAATGATCACTCTTGTTTAAATCTCTGCATTAGAGTCCCTTAAAAAAATAAAAGCATTCCATCAAATTCTTCTGGATGGAGTTATTGCTGTACATTTGTTGGTGGGTCACTTTCTGTGCTGTGTTTGCTTTGAAGGGATCTTCCAATGTATCTCCAATATTCCTTTCTTATAGTGTCCTTTTCTTTAGCTAGGATTTCACATAACTGAAAATGGAAAATAAAAATTTATTAAAGTATGTGTAGCTCAATCTCAAGGGCAAATACCTTTGGGCCAATACAATTTAACTCAGATCATGTTCAAATGAGACATACCAGAGTTTCAGATGAGTCCTATCAATGCTGTCCTAACCAGAAATAGCCCTACACTAAATTCTGAATAACCATGTTGAAAAGGGGCACAAATATTGGGGGCACTGGGCAAATCCAATTCTGAGATACCAAAAGCAAAAGCCCTAAGTCCCACCAGCTTACCTCTAATGCTTTATTAAGAATGTCTTCCTTGTTGTCGCATTGGTTTTCTAGCATGTCTTCATAGATATCCACAAGAAAGGCAATTAGGTATGGGGAACTGTGACTTGGTTGTAAATCAAGTAATTGATTTAACAGATTGGGATATTTAGAAAGACCATGATCCTGTAAAATCCTAAAAACAAAAATCAACAAACAAAAACTCAATTTTGAGAAAAAAGAACAAAACCAGTATAAAGATCAAGAGAAAATAACCCTGAAACACAAGCAAAAAAAGGAGATTTATTTTAAGTGAATAAAAGGCTAAAACTAAATGAAACTTTTAAATTGTGTCTTATCATAGATACTTAAGAGCTAAGTAAAATTAATTTTTTTAAAATGAAGCTTAAAGATGTTCATTTATAACCCAAAGTAACACACAAAATTAAAGCAGAAAATAAATCATCTTTTTTGTTTCTGTTTTTTTTGAGTTGGAGTCTCACTCTGTCGCCCAGACTGGAGTGCAGTGGCTGCTCCCGGCCACCACAGTCTCGACCTGCTGGGCTCCAGTGATCCTTCCGCCTCAGCCTTCCGAGTAGCCGGAATTACAGGCATGCGCTACCACGCCCAACTGATTTTTTAATTTATTGTAGAGATGAGGTCTCGCTGCCCAGGCGGGTCTCGAACCCGCGGGCTCAGGCAATCCACTCACCTGAGCCTCCCAAAGGCGCGGGATTACAGGCTGAGCCACCAAGCCCGGCTAAAATAAATCATCTTAAATTTTAAAAATGAAGGACAAAAACAGGAGAGATCTTGTTTCTTGAGTTGATGCCTTATCACTTGAGTTCTCCAGATACTGTAGGCCCCACTCCTGACACATCTCCAAGTATGACTGGCTCTATACTTTATGTCCTTTGGTCACAGTTTCCTTGAAGACCTCCGAGTTCAATAAGGACCTTGGTTATGTCAGTGGCTGAGCAAGTAAACTTTTTCTATTTGAGGGGTAACAAAAACAGAAAGATTGGCTATCCACATGTGCAATCTGCTTGTAACTAGTCTACCATGCTTAATTGTGTTCCTGAGCTGAGCAGAGCCTGGGTGTGATTATTCCATTCTCTGTACTAAAGAAGACTTATAAATACAATTAAAACTGTGCTATTGTTTACTTAAAGATTATTCTATACTCTGTGAGGGATGTGCAAGGGAGGTGCAGCGAAGGGCAGAGGGCACTGTTTCTGAGAGTTATCATAACACTGTTACGCTTCTGCTCTTAGGCTCAAAACAATGAAAAATATTTAATATCCTTTTGGAATCTGATTATGGAATATATTCCATGATGCAGCATATAGCAGCTTGTTTGGTTTCTACATTAAAAAAAGAAAAAAAAACCTCTTACCCTTTCAAATAGTTCCACGCACTTTCATTATGTGGTACTAGCTTGATCATTTCCAGAGTGTACCTGTAAGAAAAAAAAATGTGTATTGTTTTAAAAGAGCAGTACAATGATTATAAATAGTTTTAATAAGATTGTGGCACAGGTTTCACTTGTGTCAGTCTTTACTGCATCTCTTTTAGTGAACACTAACACTTCTCATTTTAAGTGCCACTGATACTTCTCTAGGTCATATCTAAATTAGAGAATCCCTCAAGTTTGTAGTTGTCAATTCAATTCTAGGGAAGGACACTTAACTTATCAAAAGGTTTCAATTCACAATAGGAAAATAAATTAATGTGAAATATTTCCTTTAAATAACATAGGAGGTTTTCCTTTTGAAAGAAACGTCAGCTCAAACAAGGAGACTTTCCTTTTACTGGTAAAGCAACCTCGAGAAATAAAGTCTAAGATCTACTTTTGCCTTAACAAATCCTTAGTCACTAAAAAAGAGAATTTACATAACCTTAAGAGTTATAATTTTAAAATAGTATGTAAATTAGACAAAGAATAAACATTTTAAAAAAGCACAAGTGTATATCTAATTTTTACATTTTAAAACAAGATTACTAGTAAACTGTGAGTGATTCCCAGTCAAAATGAATACTTCATACCATTCTCTTCCCCTTAAGTAGATTATTAAATATAATTCAGACCCAATTACCAGAAATTCCAAGGCAGTTACAGAACTTTGTGTCACCATGTACTTGCTCAGATGAGTAAGTCACTGACTGGCTTGGTAGTCTTGATTTTGCTGCAGTACTGTTACTATAGAGAGCAATAATAAACTCATTCAACATTATAAAAAGATTTTCCCAACTACTTTTATATGACCTAATGTTTTTAATTATTTGTAAAACCATGTCCCTGCAGGCTTAGCTGCTCCTTGTTTAAATTATTAACTTCATTTTGGCAAAAAATTTTTATTCACAAACATGTGCATCAAAACATTATCTGCGGGTTCGAGACCCACCTGGGCAACTTGGCGAGACCTCATCTCTACAATAAATCAAAAAATCAGCCGGGCGTTGTAGCGCGTGCCTGTAATTCCAGCTACTTGGAAGGCTGAGGCGGAAGGATCGCCAGAGCCCAGCAGGTTGAAGCTGCGGTGGCCTGGAGCGGCCACTGCACTCCAGTCTGGGCGGCAGAGTGAGACTTCAACTCAAAAAATAAATAAATAAAAATAAAAAAATTAAAAAAATAAAAAGTTAGCCAGGTGTGGTGGCACACGCCTATAGCCAGATACTTGGGAGACTGAGATGGAAGGATCCCTTGAGCCCAAGAGTTCAAGACTGCAGTGAGCTATGATTGTAGCACTGCACTCCAGCTTGGGTGAGAGTGAGATTCTGTCTCTTAAAAAAAAAATGCAAAATTCACAAAACTATAACTCACTCTAGAGAATAGAATGTGGGAAGAATAAGAGATTTTGACTTTTTGCTTTATATAATTCAGTATAATTTTTCCCCCATAACTACACTGCATTACTTTTTCTTTGTTTTTTTTTTTTTTTTGAGTCAGTGTCTCATTCTGTCGCCCAGGCTGGAGTGCAGTGGCACGCTCATGGTCACTGCAACCTTGACCAGCTGGGGCTCAGGCGATCCTTCCGCCTCAGTCTTCCAGTTACTTCAAAGTAGCTGGAACCACAGACGTGTGCCACCATGCTCAGTTAATTTTTTGATTTATTGTAGAGATGAGGTCTCGCCATGCTGCCCAGGCTGGTCTCGAACCCATGGGCTCAGGCAATCCTCTCACCTTGGCCTCCCAGAGTGTTGGGATTACAGACGTGAGCCACCACGCCCAGCTATTACTTTTTTTTTTTTTTTGAGTTGGAGTCTCACTCTGTCACCCAGACTGGAGTGCAATGGCCACTCCTGGCCACTGCAGCCTCGCCTGCTGGGCTCCAGTGATCCTTCCACCTCAGCCTTCCGATTAGCTGGAACTGCAGGCGCGCACTACCACGCCCAGCTAATTTTTGATTTGTTGTAGAGATGAGGTCTCGTCAAGTTGCCCAGGCGGGTCTCGAACCTGCAGACTCAGGCAATCCACTCACCTCAGCCTCCCAAAGTGCTGGGATTACAGGCTGAGCCACGGAGCCCAGTCTTACTTTTAAAATAAAAGGGAAACAAATGAAGAAAGTAATCAGGTACGTGTATCTGTATGTTTAAAGATAAAAAAATTAAAACACTGTAAATTCTAGACAACTACAGCTACAATTAACATTTCAAATATTTCTTGTATCCATCTTGAGAGGGTAATAAACTTTAAGGAAAGCTCTTTTAAATTCTTGGCTGATTAATTTTATTTGGTAATAGAAAGCCGTGAAGTGCCTCTGAAGGCTAAGAGAGAAGTTTGCAGTTTTAAAATACTTCATATTCAATTTTTAAATTGTTTTGACTTTTTTTTTGAGTTGGAGTCTTACTCTGTCACCCAGATGGAGTGCACTGGCACGCTCACGGCCACCGCTACCTCGACCTCCTGGGCTCAGGTGATCTTTTCGCCTCAGCCTTCCAAGTAGCTGGAACTACAGATGCGTGCCACCACACCTGGCTAATTTATTTATTTATTGTAGAGGGTCTCACCAAGTTGCCTAGGCTGGTCTCGAATCCCTGGGCTCAGGCAATCCTCTCATCTCTGCCTCCCAAAGTGCTGGGATTACAGGCGTAAGCCACTGCGCCTGGCTTTTTTTGACTCTTAACATAACGAAGTAACACAAAGTAAATAAGGAATATGTAGTATTGAAATCCATTAATTATTAATCAGGCTAATTCAAGGTAGAATAACCTGAAACATTCTTCTAGCAAGAGAGCTTCTTCAGTTAAGTCCACTGTTACTTCTCAGATCAACACTGCTCAGCAGAACTTCCTGTGATAATGGAAATATTATTCATAAGCCGGGCTCAGTGGCTCAGCCTGTAATCCCATGCCTTTGGGAGGCTGAGGTGAGTGGATTGCCTGAGCCCACAGGTTTGAGACCCAC